AAACTAATTTGCATAGAAGAAATAAAGTTATCAAGGAATTACTCCACAAAAAAGTACCAACCCCAGGTGGTTTCACAGAGGAATTGATAAATTTGTCTACATAAAAATAAAAATTTGCATGATAAAAAAAACATAAGCAAATTCAAAATCACAAAAAAGATATAAAAATGGTCCTTAAACATGAAAGATGTTTAACTTCCCTCATAGTGGGAGAAATGCAAATTAAAGCCACAATGAGACACCCATCAGATCGGCAAAAATTCAAAGGCTTGACAACATATTGTTAATAAAGCTTTGGGGAAACATATAGCATCATAAATTCCTGGTGGAATGTGAAAAGCCAAAATCTTTATGGAAAGGAATTTGGCAATATCTAATAAAACTACATATGCATATGTCCTTCGACTCAGTAACCCCACTACTAGGAATCTGTAGGTATACCTCAAACAAAACAGAAATACATATGCAAAATCATTCGTTGTAACATTACTTGTAATTTTGCAAAATATTGAAACTACCTAAATGCCCAAGCATAGCAGATTGATCGGATAAACTGTGGTACCTACACACCATGAAATGCTAGGCTGATACAAAAAAAGAAAAGAAGGAGAAAGATCTCTATGAATGAACATGGAGTGATTTCTAGAGACAAGTGAGAAAAGCAAAATCCATAAAAGCATGTATGTGAAATAGCTAACAAGCACATGAAAAGATGCTCCACTTCCGCATTAGGGAAATGCATATTTGAACTATGAGATACCACTTTGTAGCTACAAGAATGTTTATAATGAAAAAGACTCATTAACAAATGTTGGTGAGGACAGTAGAAACTGAAACTCTCATACTTTGCTGGTGAGAATGTAAAATGGTTCAGCCACTTGGAAAACAGTATGACATTTCTTAAAAAGTTAAACATAAATCTATCATACAACTCAATTCCACTCTTAGGTATCTACCCAAAAGAAACGAAAACCTATGTCCACAAGAAGACTTGCTGGTGAATGTTCATAGCAGCATTATGCATCATAATCAAAAAGGCAGCAACCAAAATGTCCATCAACTATTAAACAGATAAAAAAATATGGAAAGTTCTATAATGGAATACTATTCAACAATAAGAATACTGATAAAAATGCTCTTATATGCAATGACATGGATGGACCTCAAAAACATTATACTAAGTAAAAGAAGCCAGACTCAAAAGATAACATTGCATCATTCTATTTATACGAAATGTACAGAGGAGGAAAATCTAGAGACAGAAAGTAGCTAGTGGCTGCCTGGAACTGAAGTGGAGACAGGCTGGGGTGGGAACAAGGATTAACTGTACTCAGGCATGAGGGATTTTATGGGAATGATGAAAATGTTCTAAAACTGGATTGTGGTCAGGTTGTACAACTCTTAAAATGAGTGAATTTTGTGCATTAAATTATACCTCAATGAAATTTTTTTTTAAAGACATACATATGAATTTTATGGTATGTAAATTACACATCAATAAAATTTTTTTAAAAAAGATCATGTTTTAGCACTACAAAGTCTGTGTCCCAACAACCTTCTCAGTCTTAGGCAAATTGCGGGGTCTGGTCTCCCTACATGTATGCTACTTTTTGTGTAAGAAAGAAGGGGCAATAAGAAAACACATTTATTATTTTTCTTTATAAACAAACACAGGGAGAAAAAAACAAAAAAACAATGAAGTTGGATACCTAGGAGGAGGGTTGGGGAACGGGGCAGAGGGATATGAGTGACACACTCAGTACACCTTTTGGTATAGTTCCAACTTTTAGAAGCATGTAATGTTCTACGTAATGAACTCAATTTATTTCAAATAAATAATCACAGTGAAGGAGGCAAAAAATTAACCCAAGTAATTTATGAATACAATGTAAATATACATCCTCAGTTTTGGGCAGGAGACAGACAGTGAAGGAACTGGAAACCATCTTGCAGTCTTATGTGTTTTACAGTGATATGCACAAAAGCAATTCTGAAACTATTCTAGATGTTTTATAGGATTGAACAAGTGAATAAACTGACTGACTTTTTGGGGAGCCAGGATTCTAAAAGGACAAAGAAACAGAATGGGGAAGGCAAGAAAGAATCCTATGAGGATGGATTGGAATTTGAGGTATTAGTGTGAACTCATGATGTCTGAAATCAAACATAATGTGTATATGAGCATATGTAAATGTATGTGTACATGCACATTTGTGTGTATGCATATACAGGCACATTTCCTAGTTCTGCCTGCTGAACAGGCCCAGAAGCAGACACCCAGTAGCGATGAGCACACCCAGCAGCCAGATCTATGTATCTAATATCATTCCCCAAGGTTCCTTGGAGAAATTGCTGATTCCAGATCACAGAATATCTTTTATTTAGGATAATTGCAAAAAAAAAAAAAAAAATGATAGGGGATACCACAAGGACATAGGAGCCATACTGAAGGAGCTCCTGCAGGCCAAATCTAAGATAATTTAAGCATAAAGTAAGTAATGAATAATAAACCATTGAAAAAATAGAAAACCAGGTCAAAACAATAGTAAACAAAAATTCATGCAAATAGATATGGATAGAGGAATGGGCGGATGGGAAAGGCGAGTTCCTGCTTACAGTAGAATGCTGAGCGCCAACTGATACATGAAGAAGGAACGCTGGAGTTGGAAAATCACCCTTTTGCAACTATCCAAGTAAAGACTGAATAAGCAAGAATTGTCAGTGGATACTAAATGCTGGGGGAAAATGCTGATTTAGCACGGAATTAAGAGTCTCCCACAGATTGCTTATTAGATGCAAGATAAAAAATAGTAACTATGCATTGGAGAAAATGAACAATACCTCGACCAGGTGACCAAAATCAACACCACCAATGAGAAGCAAGATGGACACTGTGCCTCCAGATGTGATACCGTGGTGACACAGCATCACCAGTAGTATTCTGGCCAAGAATGCGTAACCTGAATCTAATCATGAGGAAATTCAAAATGAGGAACATTCTATTAAAAAGGGAGGGGACAGGAGACAGAAGACTGTATTCTTCAAACACACGTCATGCCAATGCCATGAAAGACAAAGGCGGCCATGGAAATGACCCAGGGTAAAAGAGACTTGAGGGAGAACAAATGAACAACCAAATGATAAAACAAAAATGGTAAAACCTTAACAATAGGTGAATCTGGGTAAAAGATGTACTGATGTTCTTTGTACTATTCTTATTCTTGGCCAATTTTTGGTAAATTTGAAATCGTTTCCATATAAAAAGTTAAACAATTAGGAGGGACTGATATTGGGTTGCTAACCTCATGTTTTGCCTAACAAGGTTATTAAAACAAAAGCATTAAAAAAACAAAACTACCATCTACTGTTATACAAAAACAAGTGTGAGGAGGGGGCATTTTAAACATCCAAAACATAGCAATGATCTCTAAGTAAAAGAATGGTCCTTTAAGATGAATAAATTTAGACTTATGAAAACAACTTATCACACATTGTCCTCATCTTTCTCATTCCCCTTGTGGACCAGGGAGAGCCTTGTGAGCTTGGTGTTAGAGAATTAGTCTTCTAAACAACGTGCATTTTCAGCAGTGGATGAAGTCCAGTTCAGTGGACAGAGCATGGAGTCTAGAGACAAATGCTGAATTCAAATCCTGCCTCCAGCAGTTACCAGCTTTGTAACCTAAGCTCTCTTAGCCAGTTTCCTCAATTGCAAGGCAGATAGCTAAATCATAGGACTGTTAAGAGAATTAAATTATTATCTATCTAGAATTGTGCTTGACCCAGAGAATGCTCAACAAGTATCGCCATCTCTTCCTTTCTTTGGGAGCCACCTTACTGTTCTCTGGAGCTGTATCTGACTGCGGCCCTTGTTGGCCCTTTCCTCACTGACCCAAACTCAGCCCCACTAGGATTTTGTAAGAAACTGAATTATCCTGAGAATAAACCTCTTTGCTGGAGGTAAATTTCCTGAAAAGAGAAGCCAGAGATATTGGATAGTAAAATGAAAAGATAGGCGGCTTTTAAAAACAGATGAGTTGGGGCATGGCTGGTAACTGATGAGTTCTGTTAAGGAGGTAAAGACAATAGGAGGGAAGATAGTTATCAGTTTATCTTTGAAAAGTCTGCTGCTCAAAAAAAGACAAAACAGTACATATTTTTTTCATATATTCACAAGTCTATTTTGCAAATAACCATCCACCTACTTTCAAGAGTGAATGATAGTTTATGCCAAAAGTGAATATTATTGAGATCACCAATTCTATTTCTTTTACCAGCTATGTATCTTTGAAGAAAAAAAAAAATCAACTCAGAAAAATGTCCATAAATTGTGAGATTTCATCCAATTGTCTATTGATTTTTTGCTTCTTTCCACATATTTCCTATTTACATCTACTAGGATGATTTCCTTTTATGTTGCCAATGATAGTAATTCTTTAAAAATCTATTTTTAAAAATGGAGAAAAAAGTTTAAAAAATAACTAAATTGCACTATAGCAAAAAAATTTATATTGCCAACAGAAATTTAGTTTAACATTTAAAATCTTTATAAAAGATAAACAAATTCTGATTTTTTCCTTTATTTTATCATAATTGAAAAATGAAATCACTTAACAGGAATACTTAGTACATAATTTCCTTAAAACTTCTCTATGGTGAAACAAAACTGTACACATTTAAAGAGTGTATATAACACTATTAACACTCATGACAATTTCAAACCAACTAGCATTGGTATAGCTTCAAATTCTTATTATAGTTGTGGCTATTTTTGAAAAAAGGGTGCAAAGCTTATTAGGGCCCAGCATACCAGAAAGACTTAATTTTACATTGTCATAGAGTTCAAAAAGTGGCATTATAGTTTGAAGATACTATAAATTGCCATTTCTTTCTCGTAAGTCTCTTAAAACAGGCTGGAAAAATATTCAGTACCTCATATATAACAATTAACAAAAATATTTCCATTGATCACTTTTTGCCCAGAGTGATTAAGGACAAAAAAATAGGAATTCTTGTTGCTTTATTATCTGATAACTGCTAATAGGCTCCCATTAGAAGTTCTTCAGACATTACACCAAGTTGTCTTGGTCTTCTGATCATATATATATATATTCACATATATATATGCATTTTTTCAAGTAAAGAAATGTTTAACAGATGTAAACTATTTATTGAATATTTGCCACCAAATATTGTTAAATACATTATCTTGCAGCATATCGCTTTCAAGTTAAAATGTCAGAAACAAACACCAATATTTACAATTCTTTTAAGGAATGTTATATAATGACACATTAAGGCGTAAATTCTTTTGGCTTATAATTCTTAAAAGAATGATAATAGCAAAAGTGATGCAAAATCTTCAGTGTGAGATTATGATTAAGCTACATTTTACAAAAATATGGTGTAAGATGGCAATAATCCCATTCAACATCCTGGATTAGATCCCTTCAGGAGGGACTGATAATTTATACAGTCAAACTTTAAAATTTACAGATAAGGCAGTTCAATACTGCCACTGAGAGTACATCTCTTAACATATACAACTTTCACGCCACAGTTTTGAAGGTCTGAAGTATCAAGTTGGTTTGATGAATTAGTCGGTTGGCACTTATGAACACATTTATTGCCCTGTTTTAAAAAAAAAAGAACAAGCATTAATTTTATCCAAAAAATTCATCCTTTAAAAATATTTATACTTAATGTCATCTACTAACAGCAATAACATCAATTTAGGAAAAAAGGTAAGTAAGAACTGAGTGTCATTTATTCCAGCTTGGAATTTAATGGTCCTGCATCATTTGAAACTATCTAGGAATTACTGCCCCCTAGTGGTTCTGGCTGGCAATAAGGTGTTGGTGGGCTGGTAATGATAGGTGGCGCCTCAACAACTCGAGTTCATCTATAGGTCGAACAAATAACTGGCCAAAGAAGAGGATTCCAGTGTATCCTCCAGCTGTGGTTTCACAGAAGTCACCAAAATAAAACTGCTCAAGTATCATACTCAGTCTCAAAATATGTACATTAATGGGCATGATACTTAAGAAAAAGCTGATTACAGTGAATCTGATTCATCTCAATCTCTCATACTGTCTTTCAAAAAAAAAATCTGAGAATTCTAAACTACTTTTAGAACTGATCTACTTTTAAAATAAAATAATCATGTAGTTTCAATATTTGGGAGCTGACAGTATATAAAAATAAGTTCTTAAAAATTACTTTGTGCTGCACCACCTTCTCCTACCAGCCACCTTCATGTGACTGGAGCACAGAGGGATGCCCTAGGCCCACTGTGTGGCCTCATCAATTCCTTAGTAGCAGAGCTAAAGCTTGTATCTTCATCCTGGACTTTTCTCAAAAAAGAGGGACCAGGAAGAATTAGTTGAATCAATACAAATTCATCCCCTTTTTGAAAGATGGCTCAAAGATCAGGCTTTATTAATAATTTTCAGTTTTGAGAAATAGGTACAAAATACGTGGCACATTATTCATATACAAATAATCATAATTTAAACAAGCTGCTGAATGGAGAAAATGTTGTAGAGGTGAACCTGAATAATCCATGTTAAAAAACTGGATAAAAGCAACTGTGGGGCCAAGGCACCGGGGTTTTTAAAAATTGAACCCAGTGATTCTAATGTGCAAACAGGATTGAGAGTAAATAATTTCGGATGAAAATTAGGCTCTAAATGAATTTCTACCTTTCAATCTGCTTATTCCATGACAGTTCTTAATTAGAATCAGAAATAATGATCACATCATGTAAATTATTCTTTTACTGTGTTTTCATTATTTGGGCTTAGCAGAGGAGACCAAGCAAAAACAGATGTTAAGTTTATTTTCAGAACACACCTGCTGGCTTATTAAACTAAGTCATCAAGGAACATTTCCCCTAGACAACCAGAATAGTAGTATGGAACAGCCACACAAGCCATTAATAAAATTGAGCTCAATATCTTTAATTGATAATATAAATGTAAATATTTCTACCTGTTTGAACTGTTAAAAATAATTCTGAAAACCCATAGACGATTCTAATGTATTCTTTTATTATTTTTAATATTATCACAGTGATACTGTAATAGTTTGGCATGCATATAGGGATCTTAAAACTTCAATGGTAGCAAAGGATGTTAGAGGTCCCTGTCAATTGTAGCTGAAATAATCACTATTTCTACCTGAGGTCCAATGAACTCTATAAGGCATGATGATGCAGAAGGCATGGCCTCTGCAACAGCTTATACATTATATGTACGTGTGTATACATGTAAAAACACATATGAAATTTATTGGTTTTCTGGAGCGTTCTATAGTCAGTTGTATGTAAATTTGAAAATAATGTCCAATACCTTTTTAATACACTCCCTGTCTTACACAGTGACACTGTGACAGCCTCCCTCCTTCCAGGACAGTGGATCAGAACCTTTGCAGCACTTTAAAATCACCTGGAGCACTTTTACAAACACCTAAACCCCAGACCCACTCCAAGCCAACTGAATCAAAATCTCTGAAGGTGGGGCCAAGGCACCTGGATCTTTCAAAACTGAACCCAAGTGATTCTAACGTGTAAATAGGACTGAGAACCACTGCTCTAACTTTAGTGCAACAATTCTCAACAAACCTGCAGCATCAGTATCATCTGGAAACTTCTTAGAAATGTAAATTCTTGGGCCCAACCTAGACCTACAGAATCAGAAACTCCGGGGGTGGGACGCAAAAGCAAGCCCTCCAGGTAATACCGATGCTACTCAAGTTTCAGAACCGCTGCCTCAGGGGTTGGTAAAGTAGGCCAGTAAGCCAAATCTCACTCACTATGTGTTTCTGTATGGCCTGCAAGCTAAGAGTACTTCTACATTTTTAAATGCTAAAAACAAACAAAAAAAACTAAAGGATAATATTATGTGACAGGTGAAAATTATACAAAAATTCCAATTTCAGTGTCTATAAATAAAGTTTTATTAGAACGTGGCCATGATACCCACTTGTTTCTATACTGTCTACGGCTGCTTTTGCACTACAATAGCAGAGGGGGAATGGGTAGCTGCAACAAGCCCATCAAGTCAAAATATTTGCCATCTGGCCCTTTTCAGAAAAAGTCTGTCAACTCCTGCTCCACACTAGAGTTATGGCCGAATCATCAACCATTCACTTTCTATTTTTAATAGTCCACCTTAGTTACTAGTTGGTTTGAGTATTAACAATATAGTAAAAGGGTTTAATATATACGGTTTTAGTATCATATAAAACCACATAATTTATTTAATATTAAAAGAAAAGGATGATAAATGACAGTACTTACTTCCCATCTTTAAAATAGGTTTTCAGAGTATCACTGAAACTTTTGGAATACTTTACAAATTCTTTCTTTTGGTGTTCAAGTGCCTAAAGCCATCAAAAATAATAAGAAAAAAATACTAAATAAGAGAAAACACACAAAAGCTAAAGTTAACAACAGATTACACCGAATATGGGATGGACTTTACATTACAGATAAGCACTTTTAGGAGTATTTACTTAAACACATGTAACAGCATATTTAAATTCAAGGACAAACCCAGTGGTAAATGATACAAAACTATTTCCAATAATCAAACCGTCTGAGTATTTAACTCGATAAAACAACTAGGTACAAACCAACACAACATCTAGGGTGCAGCTTGTAAGGCTTCTACTAAACTTACCCTGCGGTTCTGGTATTGGTATTTCTTGAAGACATTATTCACTGTATCAAGAAGTTCTTTTATTGCACTAGCTATATCCCTGTTGGGTAAGAAAAAAAGAATCTCCTCAAAATCAGTTACATGTGAAGGAAGTCTGTATATATACTTTTAAGAATTACTGATCACACAGACACGCGACCAGCTGGGTGAGCAAGGGTGTTGGCCTGGATCCTTCTGTGATCTGACTTCTCCAGCACGGCTGACCAAACATTTCACAACATCAACCTTCCCAAATCAGTAACGTCTCATTCAGCATTACTTACTCAAATTTATAAGAATATACTTCTGCCTCTCTTCTCCAGTTATGATTTTTACTTCCTCTGGCTAATGTAGCTGAATTCAAGCTACCATATTCTCCACTTTTATCTCATGAACAATTATCTGAAATTCTGCTATTACATTTAACTCATTTCTGTATTTACCAACACTTCAAGTTACATACCTAATGGTTTTGATGCTTAAACTATTTCCTCCTCAGTCGTAGCTCTTCTCTCATAAGACACACTTACCTTCTATCTAATCAACCACATATCCTCCCCTTCCAAACCTTTGCTGTCACTAATTCCTTGGGAAAATAATTTTAAACTTCTGGGAGAGACAATATCAGAATATTCTTCTACATTAACCTTTCCAATCATCCTTTGACCATATATGCATCAACACCTCCTTCCCTTTCTAAAGAGAAAAAGAGAAGAAATCAATAATTCTCATTCGAGCTGACCATTCTTCCTAACCACACACCATTTTTTCTGAACTCTTCTTGTCTTTTCTATCTATGCCCTTTCCAATTTCCCTGTGCTAACTTCATAGCAATTTTTCTTGTCAAACTGAACTTAACGTAATTCTGCATTCTCAAATAGCCTCATATTCTCTAAGGCAAGGCTTCTCTTTTTCACATCCATTCTCTTAGTTGTAAATTGCTACAAAAACTTTTGCCATTCAAATGCAATGCACGTGTGAAGATATGCATTAGCAGGACATAAATCTAGACTATCCCATAATCTTTTATTACTGACTTTTTAATCACAAATGTCAGATTTCCGTTATTTCATACTGCAAACATTACTGCTTCACTATATAAAGAAAAAAACCAAAAAGCTCAGTGTCCAGATTTCTGTGTGTGTCTGTTTCACAGCATATTTCTTGTAAATAAGCATGTGGAAATTCTAAAAATTATAAGTATATAGGATTTTGGTATTAAAACATATTTTAGCTTATTCTGAAGTAGTAGTGACATTCTGATTAAATATTTCAATAAATAAATACATATTACCTCCTGTATGTCAAACACTGGTATCAGGCTGAAACATTAAAACATTAGATGTTCAAACAGGACATGAATTTTATATAGAAATAAGATCTGTCCACTCATTTTTTTTGGCCTCTAGTTTAGTAATAGCAGTTTTAAGTTACATAGCCATTTCTTTCATTTATGGTATCAGCAAGTTGAATCCTTCTGTATTGCCATGATGGGCACAGGTCCACCACAGCTTAATAAAACAGTATCATATGACCATCTTATTATGTGAGAAAAATTACAATTTCAACAAATAAAAAATAATGTCAAATCTCTGAATATGAAAGATTCTTCAAACCCACAATGAGCCTATTAAAAACGGAATATAATGGAGTAAATTACACAGTGACCAGTTAGCTGTTCATACACAACTGTACTTAGTGGTATACTTTAACATTCTGCTAAAAAGTGATTATAAAAATGTGCTTTCAGAGCTAATCAACAAGAAGAACATATGTTCCATATACAACAATAATGACTGGATTCCACAGGGCAAAAGAGCAGTTCTGAAACTGGTTGCTCACTCACTCACCTGGTAGCACAAACAAAAGGGGGTGGGGGGCAGGGGAGAGCAGGGAGGGTTTAGTGGCCAGTACTCCAGGCCTGCTAATGAATATTGGGTATCTGTACTTTAAAAGGAAAGCAAAAAAAAAACTCCCCAGGTGATTTTGCTGATGAACCAGGTTTGGAAATCACTGTTTGGAAACCCAGAGCCAACAGCTAAGGTTTGATCCATTATTTGCCAGAGAGCTTTATAGAAGAAAGCTGTTGATCCTAGGCCTGGCCTTCTCTAAAACAATCTGTAGCAATTTATGTCAAATATTATGTCATCTCTATGCATACAGAACAGCATTTTCATTAATGGCACCAAGGTTTGCACCAGAGAAGCTAAATTATATTAGTAACTACCTGAGGGTCTGTTGCCTACACGAGAAAATACAAGCACAAACAAATATTTCAGACAACTAAGCAGATAAAGAACCGGGGAAAACTTGACGGCAAAATAACTATAGTGTAATTATATGCACAGTCTGGAGTTAATGGTTTCTGTGATAAGGGATATATAATACGGGTATAAGTAGGAAGAAATTTTAGTAATTTGCAGCAATACAGTGGGGCAACTTGGGGGAAACGTATACACTGAAAGAGAGGACAAACAGCTATCAGATGAAATGTAAACAGACAGCTTATTAAAAAATTGCATGGAATAGGAGAGCTTCTAATCGTGTCACACAAATTTGTATAATATGTTTATGCAAACACTCTAAAGGAAGGAAATTCCTATGCTGGATGTTTAGTTTGGTCTAGACTGGACAACTCTGGAAAAGCTGTTTTGAAGCCATCGTGAAAACGAAACCCTGGTGAATTTTTGCCTATGAATATGCAAATGCAGATTACAAGTAGTAAATAGATAAATGCATAGCTTTCTGGTCTATTAAATCATGAGTATCCACTAGTCATCCATTGGAACGTATCAGACTTAAAAAAAAGTCCTGTGAGTTTATTTTAGAAAATATTTGCATAAGCCAGAAACATTCATTAATCCAAAGTACTTTTAAAATATCTGCTTGCTAGATCATTTTTCCTAATCAACTCCATAGAGAGAAGAGGAAAAAAATCTGATTTCACAATGCTAGTATGTGCCATGAGTGTATGCTAGGTTCTGTGCTAGGTGCATATATACACCATTTCTTTCAATTCTCACAACCATTACCCTCATCTTCACAGGCAAAAATAAGAATCACAGCAGCTAAGCAACTTATCCAAGGTCACATAGCTAAATGTTGGAATGGAGATTCAAACCCTGGTCTGCTAATATATACAAGAATACGTGGATATTTGTTAGCTGACAGCAATCTTTTTTCTACTTTAATATAACCTATAACATCATGTACGGTATTTGGTATAGTAGATATTTGATATATACTTATTGACAAATATTGCTAAAATAAAAGAAGAGGATATCTTAAATATGAGATATACCTTAACTACCTTCAATACGAGAAAGTAAAATATTTTAAAGAAAAATAGTAACTGCACAATATGTTGTGTCTGAAAGATAAGCCATTTTTTATTTTGGTGCAATTTTATCCACTAATTTGTTAAACAATTAACAGTGGTAACAATATGTACCAAAATGTATCAATATATATCACTGATACAAATAATTACACGTTAGCCATCTATGCTAATTCAAACACAGTTGAATTTTAGTCTCAGAAATAACACATATTACCAACAAACTTTCTATGGCAAATTATCCCTCCTAAAATGGTTAAGAAATAAATTTCAATTACCAATGATCTTAATTCAGTTGTGCTGAGTACAATCCAGAAAACAGAATTGAAATATTATTATTGCCTCACAAATGAGAGACGAGACTAATTCAGCCCCTGTCAATGACTATGGACAAGACTCTTAGGCTCTTGACCTCAACTTCCTTATGATTGAAATGTGGCTGTTTTAACAAAGTGGTTTTCAAACTACTATCTCTCTAGAACCATACTGGGTTGAGCATAGATGCCTCAGCGACTCCCCAGGGGGAAAACAGGGTGTCAGGGCACAAGATGAGGGCTCTGGGCCTACCATGTCTATCCTAGCTTCAACCACAACACTGTTCTCCCTCTTACCTACTGGCATTCTATATAAGATGTCCTTTATCACAATTCTTCCAAAGAGCAGAAAATTTTTTTCAAGCACCAGATTAGATCAACATTATGAATCTATGATTGGGAAGCAGCAGAGAAGACCCTGGAGTCAGTCTGCTTGGATTCAAACCAAGTTCTGCCAACTTACCAGCTCTGTGACCTTGGGAAAGTTACTTAATTTCTTATGCCTCAATTTCCTCATCTCTTACACCACGTCGTAATAAGTTAATACATGTAAAGTGCTTTAAAAAGTGCTTAGCACATAAGTTTATATAAGTGATTGCTATTATTATTAAGATGACAGCGATTCTATAAACCTCTACTTCAATGACCTGAAGCAAAATTTGCTGAAAATATTTTTAAAACGTCAAATTTTCATAGAATTGTAGCATAAATCATCAACAAATATATGATCATCAAAACAAATCAAAACAATTAAATTATCTGAAAATCTAGAAATAAGTTGTTTAAACAGCTGTGTTTGTGATCACTGACAATTTATTGTTTTATGGGCCAAACATGTTTACTTTATACCAAACTAAAAATCAAAATCCATAAACAGCTGACTGTCTTCCTTCTTCACATATTAAAAATAGTTAAAGGAAGCTGGGGCTTTCCAACAAAGGTAAAATGTTTACCTTGGGGTTTGTCTCCTGTGACATGGATTTTAGCTAGTCAATGAAAAGTCTTTTTTGTACTTTCTGGTCCTCAATTAGAGGACCAAAAAGAGAAGGATCACTCCTTGATAGCTGGGTTGAGTACCTGACACGAAGCATTATATTCTAAAATGGGACACACTCCTCCCTCCAGACCAAAATAGGTGCCCAAACTAGCTGAAACAGCATTTTGCAATGTGAACTACAAAGAATATTATTTCTGAGAGATGAATGTTAATATTTACTTCAAGTAGCCACCTTAATTAAGTTCTTTAAAGATGCGATGCATGATGCAGCCTCTTCCAGAAAAAGACCTGTGCTAAATCTTTCCTTTCTAGCAATTTCTACTCATGGTTTCACCAAAAGGTTGCACTGGTAGTGCCACTACAATTACTCCCAGCTTTCTTTGTTTTCTATCCATTAAGGCTGAAGAAAATTATCAGACTCTTTAGTTTAAAAATACTCACCTAGAAATTATGTTTGGAGTTGCCCCTCATTCCTCCACCCTCCCACCCCTGAGGAGAGGGCTCCTGGTCTGAGAACTGCCCTAGGATGACCCTTCTTGCTGCTGCTCACCAGCCAGTCCCCCGGCCCATGCACATGCCCAGTCTTTTTAAACCTCTATCCCAAAGGCAAGGATCTGGAGGTTCACAATATGGTGAATATTAGAAAATGTTATTTACACCCAAGAGTACATTATTATCCTAATGACTTGTGCCATTTTGGAAATAAAAAGAATATTGGTATCCTTTGTTATCAATCTCTAATTTATCCAACTTCTCTATTCACTTTAATCTGACATTTACATTTTTCCATTTTTTATGTAGTTCAAACTACATTCCAGTTTATGCACATTTCATTCACTGTTCTTAAATTAAACATTCTAAAAAATGTTACTGTACTCTAAAGCCAAATGCCACAGCTTAGAAGTTAATAATAAAAATGTAGCATTTAAAAATTTCTAATTTTTTATTCCAAATTAGTATTTCAATTTAATATTAATGTCATACCAAAATAAAACATCCAGAATGAGTGGTTCCTTTGAAGTACCTCTAAGAAAAGAACTAAATAAAAAGTTGCTTACTTGATTGTCTGCAGAAACCTCACTCTGTCATTGATCTCATCTGGGATCTTACTGAGAATTTGTTTAAGTGCTCGTGCCTTTTCGTTTAGGTCCTGGAATTCTGGCTCTGGTCGTTCAATCATATACTCTGATAAAATAAATACATAATAAAAAGCATCATGCAACTCCCAAATTCAGGTCTAAGAATTCCCAATGTTAGTCAAGGGGGTGGTAGGGAGAGAAAGCCCAGACAATTAGGAAGACAAGGTTGCAAACCAGAATTCATAAGTTCAACCTAGTTCAGTAACATTAGGGCTCCTTCCAAATAAAACATTAGAATATGAAAGACTAAACATTTTCAATTTGGGGTAAATGGAAATCCCATGAAATCTTAAAAAAATTAAAAAGGGAGGCTTAACCAAGTTTATCAGGCCTCTGAAGCTACATTTCACAAGGAAACGTTAAAGTAAGTAATGACATTCATAACAAATACAACAGCAATATATATCTGCCAATGGGGAAGACGAATTTAATAAAACCTCTGTATTGAATATACAATGGCTCATTATATCAAAACCCCAAACAACCTAATAAAATCCTCAGCATATTCCTGAAATCTCACTTAAAAACAAAAAACATCACTATAAATTCAACACTTGGGTAGGGACAGCAACTTTGAAAAGGAAGTTCAATCAGACCTGGCAGAGGCAAAAAGTTTCCTCCTACCAGATTCACTGCAGACTTGGAAACACTACAACTCTACCAATCCATCAATACAACCTGGCCTAACGGGCTGCAAATGCTCAAGTCTAGAATAATGATGAGGGCTTTCTTATAAGTTATGGAATCATTTAAAACACCTACTTTTGTTCTCCTTCAATCAACATGGGAAATTATACTTCTATGTTTTTCTAAATTAATTAAAAATTTCTAAAGTTTTCTAAATCTTAAATTTAGAAAATGGCTACTAAATTTAAGTGAAACCCATTTCTAATTATTTAAAAAAGCAAAAAATGGGAATAGAAACAAAAAGCATGGTTATTATACTGTTCTCTCAAATCTGTGCTTGAAAAAAAATATGCCATACTAAAGTTAAAAAAAAAAAACTCATCACTTTCAAACTGCTACTTGCATAAAGTCAACAAAAAATAACCATTCCACAGAGCTCATCTTTAGGTGAAACTAGAACTCATCAAACTTATTAATAGGGAAAAAAATTAAAGCATGCAGCAGTCACAAATGCTTTACTTCAAGTAATTAAATCTGACAAACACGAACAAAAAGCAAGAACTAGTTTTCTGTTTTATATAGTTTTTTTTCACTATCATCACAATAACAACAAGAAGGAAGGAGTGGAGGGGAGGAGGCGAGGAGGAGAGGAAGGAGGAAGGCCCTTTCGTCAAACAATAAAGATGTGGAGGAATGGAGGAAGTGCTTTTCAACAAGAAAATAAATAAGACTGTTCCTGATTACCTTCTACATCATCAGCTGCCATTCGAAGAAGGGACTCTGTGAAGTTAACTTCTACACTTTTTTTCTCTAAAATTTTCATAATGATGTCTTGTGTGAGTCCTGGATTTTCTTTTTCAGCCTATAAGAAAGAGAAAGCTAGTTTTGAAATATAGAAACTAAATCAGCATTTTAAAGCCGAAACTTAATTGTTTAGAATCTGTTAGGAACTTCTTTGACTGATCAATTTCTAAGGGCAGAAATCTCTGTAAAGCAGGTGTCATGATGGCATTCACTAACGTTTTGTTAGAGCTCGTGCATCAGTAACTTCTTATTACAGCCACGGTCCCATTTTCCATTTGAATATAAAATACTTAACACTTCCTATTTCTCCTTTACACTCTCTTGCAATCAAACTAATAACTAAGACAGAAATAAAGATTATATATAATCCATCAATTACTCTTTTCAGTAGTTTAAATACACTGAGGATTTGTAGCTTTTTTTCATTAGCTAATATTTCAACTTGAGGATCAAGCAATAACTCATCTCACCAGTATTTTGCAGATTCTTTGCATTTAAATTAACAGAATGACAGGAGAAACAAAACAAAAAAACAGGATTTCTTTGCAGGTTTTACTGAAGCTATGTAATCTCAACTATTTTCCCACACAATGATTTTCATTTCCTGTTTTATTTCTGTAGCAAGAATATTTCCTTCACTAGTTTTCAGATCATCATTAATCCTTTTACTACCTCCTGAGCTTGTTTCACTAATGAGTTTGCATTGGTTCTATGTTATTTAACTCCCTAGGGCACTAAATTTTCTAGTCATTTCAAGACTGTACATAAAGAGTTTTGAGTTTACCAAAGCTAATTTTCAGATTTTGGTTTTCCCCAGTAATTTTGTCCCATTTTATTATTTTTTTAAATTTTGTAATCACATTCTAACTTTGTTTCTTTTAGGATGCCTGCCAATTTCAATCATTATGCTTAAGATTTCCTATCTTTTGCACCATGGTATTAAACAGCAAATAGAAACAGAATTTATGATCTTAATCAGATGGCAATCTATTTGCTTCTTTCTGTGCCAAGCACATTTAACCTCTGCCTTTTCAATTCCATTCTGGCATCACTGCAGATCCAGCTCTCTTCTGTTCCTATTGCTTCTTCCATTATAACATCTTGTTTCTCATTAGATTTCAAATATCAAAAACTGAAAGGTCGTCGAATGAAATGGGAAAAGAAAATATACACATTTGTCTCAATTCTGGGATCATTTTAACTGCTGTCAAATGCTATTCAGGGAAATCATTTTGATAAGAATAAAGTGTGTCCTACTGAATTCCATTTCTTTTATAATCTGTTTTGATTTTTCCTTCCATGAATATATTTAAGATAGAATCTACTTTTGTTTAAGAAACCAAGAGTTGCCTTTAAAAGAAAAGCTGTACAAATAAGGCTTAAGATGCTGTCAACATTATTAATTTGGTGAACTGCCACAAAATGACATAGAGTACACTATTTAAATAAGCCAGTATTTGGTAACAGTGGTTTATCTTTCCTAGGTAGCATTAAATCTACTACATAATGCAGCATCTTGGGGAGCAGGGGAACATTCTCTATGCGCTTCCAGAGAATGCCAGCAGAAAAATAGTATCTCTGATTAAGTTATGACAAGGTGCTGAAAGAATTAAATGCTGAAAGCCTGAGAACAAAGTTTTTAATACCAAGTTGGTCTGGAGCCCCAAAATGCCAAAGCTGGAGCGTTAAAGAAATCTCACAGAGATCCCTAACTTTCTCAGTTCACAGTGTTTTCAGTGCCAAAACAAATACCTAACAGTGCTGTGTATTAAGTAAAGTTTAAACAACTTAATAAGTACTTCTGTCCTAACAATCTAGTAGCCTTTAAAAAATACATAAATTGAAAGAAATATTTTATTTCCTTCTTAAATAACCATGATTACGCATATTAATGAGATGTGTGGACCTGTTGAGTGCTACAGAATTTCTCAAATATTGGAATTAGACCAGACCCTTCCACCCTCATTTCCCATTGTAGATTGATTTTCTTGTGTAACTTGCTTTTTATCACAGCAACAGCCAAAAGCCCAGCTTCACAAAAATATGACATCATTGAGAGGAATACAGCCCAATCTAATATGTTGAAACTGCAAAATACCTCAAGCTACTAGTTCACACAGCGTCAACCAGATGTTGAGTATCACTGTGTTTCTTCAAAATTTTAAAATATCTCATGACACCCCTCTGAGTTTGCTGGGGGGGCCCCAGGGTACACACAGTGTGGGAACAGTAATCTTAGTATCTTCTGGCTGAGGTCCTACTTAAGCTCTTTTTATTTTAAAAGCCTTAAATTTACCCAATAACTCTGACTGACAAAATAAATAGATCTGCCCTTAAATCAGAGACTAACTATCTATACCTCCAGGTTTTCCCCAGAACACAACCTTCAACTCTGTGGGCGACCAATTTTTATGAAGAATCCAACTGTGAGAGAACTACCCCCGAGGACAGTAAAATCCACTCTTGTGGATCAGTGACTCTCAATAGCACAACCTATCAGAACCTCCCAGAAGGGAAAGGAATCAACAGCAGAATAGATATCTTAAAAGCTAATATTCACTAGTATTATTTTATCTTGGAAAAAAATTATTTTAATCTTTTTTCTCTAAATAACCAAAATAGATATTAAAGCTTGATAAATATCACTGTTCTTGTGGACCAAGAACTGGAAATATGGATATATATGAATATAAATAGGGATATATGGCTGGGTGAGGTTTTTTAATCTTTTTCAAATAAGTTATAGTTAAAAAAATACAAAAATCTTCATCTTTTTATTGCATACCCTCCTTTAATTTCATTTGAAATTTAACAAATTAAATATGATAATTAAGAATAAATCAATGCACAACTGACTAATATGTTTTCCTCCAAAACGACCTCCAGCATCCCCAATTAAGAATCAGTGCCATGGATAATGAAATTTACCTATACATCAAACCAGATCTATCACAGCCACATACTTTGAACACATTGTGTGCTTTTTAATTATACTCTAGTCTTAAAACATCAGCTTACATATAAAGATATTACAAGAAAAAGCTTCACAAAATTCATTATTTTATCTCTTTTATGAATTTCATTGACTATACTATCTACTACCTCAGACAGGGTCCTCTTTATGAGGATACAGAGAGGAAATTTCTCTCTGTTCTTGGTATCAAGAAAGCTAAAATACTGACTTTTGCCTTACTGATACTACATTGTGCAACAGATCGCTTTTCCTTTTTTTCTTTGGCCACACAGATGCTTAAAATAGTCCCCACCATGCCTCTCATGACCTGAAACCACACTGATACTCAAAGCAGAAAAGAAAAAAAATCTGATATGGTGTTGTTTGTTGATTCTTTTCATGAACCCAATGATTTGACAGGATGTATTTTTATGAAGCTAGCATGTATGTGTGTACGGACACTGCATTTTAGAGTATGAAACGCATCAAAATGGCTCTAATCCGACATACACAATGTAATTTTGTGTGGTGAGATAAGAGAAATGTCTAGTGACATTATCTATGCTACCAGTTAAGAGTGGTATCAGTAAACTAATCTTTGCCATAAAAAGAAATCAATTTGGATAGATTTACAGTTACAACTCCAACGAAACCCAACCATAAATTTATTCTACATTTAAACATTAAAATATTTTACCTGAAATATAAGTTGCTTTAGCTATAGATGGGAGCAAATACACAAAAAGTAAATAAAAATTAAAGTTTTGGGCATCCTGATATGTATTTGGAGGAGACATTGGGGGAGGGGGAGATGGATAAAGTTTTATACAAAATATCAGGCTATGTAATTTTAAATTTTCTAGTAGCCACATTAAAAAAGTAAAAAAACAAAAAAGCTACATGCAATTATCTTAAGAGCACATCCAAAATATTATCATTTAACATGTAATCAATATAAAATAGTTATTACTGAGTTATTTTGCATACTTTTTCTTGTCTTCAAAATCTGGTGTATATTTTATACTTGGAGTACAACTCAATTGAAATGAGCTATATTTTAAGTGCTCAACAGCAACATGTGGCTAATGATTATTGACTGAATACCCCAGGTCTAGAGACAATAAAAAAATTTCCTCTGAATGACTTAGTTGTCTATTCTCAAAGTATCCTTAATCTGACGTACCCATAGGTCTTATTTTCCCCACTGAAAAACACTGTTTTACCTTTATGTTCTATAATTAAACAATATGAAGAACATCTTTTCAAGTTATAATTTTACAAATTTTAACAAGTCAAATCAAAAAGAATTCAAAAATATACTCTAAAGCTAAAGAGACGACACTCCGAAGAAGTCAGTTTCAAAAGCACGAAGTAATGAAAAGACGAATGCTAAGGAAACAGCATTTGTTCCAGCTCCCTTTCTGGAAGTGTTGTAAGCTTCACAGAGTACACTAAAACAGGCACAAGATGGCTAAAAAGGTTTCCACTAAAAGGAAATAAAGTGGCAATTATCACATGGTATTTAGATTTATATATTACATTTTAATCATCAAAATAAATGTGCCTCACCTTAATGAAAGCTGCTCTCAGTGTCTGAGCTGCAGACAGATTTACTCGTTCTAGCTGCAATAAAAATTTAAAATCATTATTAATATCAATTTTCTTGGAAAAAGCACATTTCTGATATCCCATTCTGTGGTAATCACACTGATACATCCATCACTCAATTAACAAAAATACTTGCTAATGATTCTAAATCACCATAATTCCTCAGACAATCTAAAATTTTCATTAGAAACCATGAAAAATTAAGGTATGCATATCAGTTCTTTATTTATTCCTTTTTTAAAAAAACAAGACACACTCTACCTTAAAGGTAGGTTGAAGATAAGCACAGAATATAAAATAAGTCCCTATAGAAAGAATAAACATATTTACTTGAATTATTGAAAATAGGAAGGGTTCAAGATTAACTCTTAATGCTCTGTTGCAAATACATGGCAAATTATGTGTTGTGTATTGTATATAAAGTGACCAACATAAAGAAAACATTTACTATTTAAGATTCTTTGTACTTACTACTTTACTCCTTTTTAATTGTTTTTCAATCTCCTCAGTCAGGGATGAAGCTGAGATTAGTCTATTTTATTAATTAGCAAATAAATTTATTTATTAATAAATAGATTAATAAAAGATTTAATTATTAATTTATTATAAATTATAAACTTATTAAAAGATTTGTTTGATACTCAATGGAAGACTGGATCATCTGGCTTTCAGAGATTCTTATATCTCTCCTCTATTTTATCTGGATTGAAAAATGGTTACCTAAAACACTGAATCGAAAGTTGAACCCAAATGATTCTAATTTTTGTATCAAACATGTAAGGTTTGCAATTTTGAAAGATACATGTCCTTATTAGACACTATATATAATTCATTCTTCACTGAGCCAAAGAAAACATACAATTTCATAAAAATAACTCTGTTTGTTGAAGAATTAACTGCCAGACTTAAAATAACTAGCTTCAATTAAATTCAGATATCTTTAGTCTCTAAGGATTGGACCAGTTAACTCAATAAAACTCAACATATATATTTTTTATTTGGGACAATAAAGTGCTCAAAAACAACGTAAACTTTTATTAATTTATACGCAAGTAGACTATTTCCACAAAAACCTTATGAACATATATCATATTATGCAATAAATGTTCCTTTCAATCTCTTGAGGAAATGAAAATGTAAGTTTTCCTCTATTAATGACATATATACACACATACATATCTACGGAATCTCCAATACTTTAAATCAATTTATTTTCAAAACAAGACAGAAATGCCAAGAATCTTATCTCCCTACTAGTTATTCACCTTAAGCATAAGGCAAAAGCAACAAAATCTGCCAAGATAAATAATTTATCTCCAAAAATAAACAATGGACCATTAATTTAGTATTTAACTTGGCATCTACAAATCTTATAAAATCTAACACTGTCTTAGTAGGTAAAAGGGAAGACACAAGGGGAACAGGTAGGCAAATACAGCAAAGAAGCAACTACATAAGGACTTTATAAAATAATGGTTTCTTTCCAAAAACGAAAAAGCTTCTTCTTTCAGGGAATTCATTTAATTAGAAGGACTACTACTGAAGACTGCAATAACAATGCAGCTCTTCTGATCTCAAGTTCTTGTTGTGCAAGGGAGGCAGAGGCAAAGAGACAGGATGAATGTTTCCACCCTGAGAGGAACCCGTTTCCTTACTTGAGTTTACACCACACTCTGACCTCTTTCAACAAGCGTCAAAGGTCTGAGTCAGATGTGTGCCTTCCAGGATCAGCATTATTAACTCACTCTGCACTGCCCTGACTGGTATGAAAGGGTCAAGGCAAGTAAGAGAGACCTAGAAAAGTCCCTGAGGAACTAACAAAATTAGCCAAGACAGCCACCAACATGACGAGCTTTCTAGATAAAGGTTACAAATGTGTACCTTAGAAAGGAAAGGGGAAGGTCTGACGTAACATACTAAACCAAATGTGTGAGGTATGAAGCCCCTCACCAGAACTCTGCTGGGAGCCATTTGGGGATACATTACATACCCACACATCTTGTGAATAAACCCACAGGCTTTATTCCTCTTATGACATCCACTTTGCCCAGGCAGTACTGGGTATATAGGCACATACATATTTTTTGAATTGAACATCCACTTTGCCCAGGGAGTACTGGGCATATAGGCACCTACATATTTTTTGAAATGAACTTAATCTGTCATCCATAAATTTATCTAAATTGTTCTTGAATCGATTTATAATTTCAGCCTGTAATACTCAGCAAGATATGTTTTTATCTTCCTTATTAAAAAGTGCTTGTATTTTAGGCCTCTCACTTGTAATATATGATTTAATAATAAAATCATGTTCATCTTACCAGTACCTTTCATGACAAAATCAGGTTGTGGTAATATCCTAATTAACAGCTACCATTTAGTAAGCACCTGTTATGGACTTTATTATATAGAGTATTTTTATAGAGTATCTCTAATCCTCATAATAAATCTGTAACTAGCTATCATCATCTCCATTTTACAGAGGAAGAAACCCAGTTTGCATGAATTTACCCAAAGTTAAACAGTAAGTACAGAGAGAATATTCATACCAGATCTGTCTGGCTCCAATACCCATGCACAAGCCACTAGTGCTATCCTGCCTCCCTGTACTCACCGTTTCCCGACTGGAGTCTACCCTAGAATTCAATCCCTTCACTACTTCAGAACTAACAAACTCTTGAGTTTCTACCACATGTAAGGAAGTCAGTGTGAGAGATACAAAGAAACAGACTACAGTCCTGGAACCCCAGAAGCTCAATTTAAGTAAGCAGTCAAATGGAAATTGATGGGATTACTCTCAGCTGAGGTAGAAAGCAAAGTCTTGATGAAGATGAGATTTGAACAAGTCCTTAAAGAGTGTGGCCTCATAAAATCATCCTCCTTGGCAGTTCACCCACTTAGGGTTTCTTTAGGGTTGGTAACACATGGAGGCATAACGATTTTATGTAAGTTTAGAACAGAAAACAATTTCCATTTTGTTTCCAATACTTTTACTAACGAGTCCAGCATTATTTTAGCTTTTGTGCTAACAGTCTTTGGCTTGGGTATCTTTAAAGAGCCAATGCAATCATTTTTAGTAGTACTTGATAGCGTATGTACCGTATTGTGAGTCCAAAGAAGGAGGAGGGAACATACGATTACACCCTGCATTAATGGATACCAAGACAAGGAGAGACACTCCTCGGGCCTCCACCATACAGGACATCCATGTCACCAGTAAAAGAGTAAAGGAAAGGGGCCGGCCCGGTGGCGCAAGCGGTTAAGTGCGCGCGCTCCGCTGCGGCGGCCCGGGGTTCGCTGGTTCGGATCCCGGGCGCGCACCGACGCACTGCTTGGCAAGCCATGCTGTGGCGGCATCCCATATAGAGTGGAGGAAGATGGGCACAGATGAGGCCCAGGGCCAGTCTTCCTCAGCAAACGAAGAGGAGGATTGGCGGATGTTAGCACAGGGCTGATCTCCTCACAAAAAAAAAAAAAAAAAAAAAGAGTAAAGGAAAAGAAGAGAATCAGAGTGAGAGAAAAGGGTACATAACATCACATCTCACCCTAAAGGAGAAGGAAAAGTGTCTGCTGAAGTACATTTGGAGGGAAAATGATAAGCTGGGTGAGCCTAACATTAGGTCTCAGCCCAACCTCACGTTCTGCCTACTCTCAGTTTTGTGAGCTCCTCCTGCAACTTCTTCTTGATAGCTTTTGAGAGCACTTACTATTAACCACACATTTGTCAAATTTAACTCTCTGGATCATTTATAAAAATATTTTAAAAACTTACACATAATTGTGAATCCACAGAGAGCTCATTATACTGTTCCCTCCAGAAGTCTCAATTCATTCCTATACTTTATTTTCTACTATCAAGCCAGTTTCTTAAAACCATAATTAAAAAATATATCCATTTAACCTTTTGGTTGCTCAAGTTTTCAAGAGTCCTGCATAAAATCTTCGGAAGTTTTTTTTTTTTAGGTCAAAATAATTAGGTTAGTTGTCCCGAATGCCTACGAACCTTGCTTCCTCAAATCAGGCATGATTTCCTCATGCTGACAACCCTCTCCTCTACCCTGCCCCTCCCCCCACACACAAAGATTACTGATCCTATTCATTAAAAGGAATTACACTGGGCCAAGTCACAAGATAAAAAACTCCATATACACCTCTTATGATTCAAATGAGAATGAGGTGAGTCAGGTCAAAAAATGAAAACTTTTGTGCTGCCACAGAGAAAGCAAATGCAATTATCTGTGTTTTGTACATACTAAGTTCAATAAATGTTTCTAACAGAATTAGTTCCTGGGGTTGCCAGTTGTCTTACAAAAATGGTAAGCAGAACCACCTACCTATTATTAACATCTTCCATTAAAACACTGCCAACAAGTATGCAAAACTCTAGGATATGATCACAATTCTGTCAGAAAATTATGGGAGACGCCTTAATAATAACAGCTAACATTTACTACATGCCTGGTACTACTCTAAGCACTACAATATATTAACTCATTTATTTCACAGAGTTGTGAGAATTAAGTGTACTATTATTATCCTCTTTTTACAGATGAGGCAACTAAGATTAGTTAGCCTAGTAAGTGGCAGAGCAGTAATTCAAATGCAAAATATTAACTATGCTCACCTCCAGATGGTGGGATTGCAGGTGAATCCCATGCCGTCATTGTCTATGCTCAAAATTTGGGGTTTGATTTTTTTTTCAAAAGGAAAAAAAGGGAATGAGTGGGTAGGTAAAATTGAAGTATTTCCAGGCTTCATTTGCTTACTGGGAAAAATTAAGAGTTGCATATTCTGCTGACAGTTGGCAGAAATAGCCGCTTCGGATACTTCTGAATAGAATGATACTATTTAGTTATTCAGAAGTATTGTTTTTCGTGTAATTTATTAGTAAACAAGCATATAAACCTCTGGTGACCTAAAATTCATACTTGGTTGCAAAATTGTTTATTTCTGTCTCAAAATACAATACATGTTTCTTTAGAAATTATATTGCACCTTAAAACAATTCCTCTAAAAAGTTACAGGAAAAGAAAATACATGGTATATCTTTTCCTGGAATAAAGAATTGAACCACATGTCCCTCCTCCTCCATATACAAAGAATCAGTAAAAAATAATACATTACTCGAGAAGCTGATCTAAGACTTGGCATTAGTTTCTATCAACTCATTCCATAATGCAACCTGGAGACCTATTTCACAGTACATTTACAACACATGCAATATACTTGGACTCTGAACTCGGCAGCAGCTGATTAAACAAGAAGCCTACTCCTTCGCAGCTGTCTTGGCATAGCTTCATTAAGTTTAGCAAGCACCAAGCACCCAGAATGCCATAAGTAACTTTGCCATGTGAGCTGGAGGAACAGTACTAAAATTTTCCCAGGTGTAAAGATGTCCTACTACCTAAAACTCTGTTCGACTAAATGACTTCTAGACAACCACTGTTACTATTATGGATGTAATGTTAAGGTGAGAATGCATAAGCTTTCTAACTCTAACAATACATCGTGGACAAAATTTAGTGAATCATTTAGCTTCAGAGTAAAATGCTCAACCCTACTGTGGTGCTATTTTCTGTAAGATTAATTTGACAATCATTTTATCTGTAACTGCATAGCACAGAAAAACAGAGCCAAACTAAGCTCTAATTTCCCCATTAGTAGATTCATAGAAAAATCCATGTTTGTACTATAGTTAAATATTAATGTTTAACTGATTAGGTATCTTATCTAAGATGTTACAATAATACACTGGAATGTCAGAGAACAATGCTTGTATTTTATTCTTTTTAACCAAATACTTTACTTCGGAAGGCACAATAATTATTTTACTCCATTCCTAAATCAGGTTTCTAGATTTCAGCTCTATCAAAGCAGAAACCTACTACCACTACTATTCCTAAAGGCTTGGTATTTTTGAACACTCATTTTTAAATACATCACAGAAATAATTTAAAAAAAACAAGCTTGACACCATGATGTTAGATCAGTAAATTCAATTTGAGAATTAGACCCTTACTATTTGATGTAGTATCTCTCAGTCTGCCACATCCAGCCATTTTATTTTCAAATTTCACTTCTAACAATTAGTCCTCGAACCAAATATGAATCATTCAGCAACATGTTCTAATTCTGGGCCCATTAACTCACATGTTTTCAGATCTCATCTGGAGAGAACCACTACCTTTATTTCTAGAAGAGATTTATTAGTCCATTCATAGCCATTTCTTTTTCTTTCAGGTTAATTTTTCTTACACGTGAATAAATTAGGAAAGGTATATCAGTATCAAGCCCAACAGTTCACTTTTCCAGAATCCCATATCCTGTATAACTGTTTTCCAAAGTCAAGATTCAAATAAAATCTGTATTCCATATGCAGGAAAAGATCACTCAAAGTGTTGGAAAAAAGCTTTTCTCATTTCTCTTCATTAACTAAAGGACCAAACTGAAGCTCTGCAATGTAAATCACCCTCCCTTCAAGTAAAGACTCAAAATACCAGAAAAATATAGAACATGCCCCCAAACAACTTGGCCCAGTAGCCTAGAGAATTAGCAATATAGATATGAAGAGGGAGCACCTCTGGGTGCAACTGTCATAATGGTTCTTAAAGGACCTGAGAAGTTCAGACACTAATTGTCATGATGGGTTCCTCTAGCTTTCAGTAACTACCTCCTTACCTCATAGCTGGTACAAGGATAATTAAATAATTTATTTGCTTAAACATCCATGTTCCCTAAGATTCTTGAGAAGAAGTATGTTGCCTTTTTCTTCTCCACATCTCCAGGCGCTAGCAGAGTACTCAGCGAGTAAATGGTTGGCATTTTGTATATATTTACTAAAAAGAATTGAAGCACTTGCTTCTAACAATAACTGTAGTCTTGCAATGAATCGGTAAAGTATTAGAACAAAATATGGAATTAATCACTGGAGTGTTGGCTATAGCTGCCAGCGATGGGTATAACCAGCCCTAAGAGTGCCTCCAATGCCACCATGGTAGCAGTATAACAGGGACAGGTTTTTCAAAAGATGCCACCCACTTGCTTCCCGTTAGTAACAAAACTTCTCAATTTCCCAATCTCCTTTGCAGCTAGCTGTTGGTCATAAGACTAAGTTCTTGCCAATAAGATGTAAATGAAGTCTTCTGTATTAAAAAGGTTAATTTAAGGAAGCTGAATCAGCTGGAAGTAAGACCCCACCCCTGCTCCATTTTTTTGCCCCTTCCAGACAACAATTTAGGACACGATGGACAGAGCTTCAGCAGCCATCCCACATGTGGAAGTGACGATAATGCACTAGATAGGAATCTGAGTTCTGATGATACTGAGCCATAATAATACTAGCCCTGGACCACTTACCTCCAAAATTTTTTATGTAAGAGAAACAAATTTTTACCTAAGCCACTGTTTTGAATTTTCTTTTATGGTCACTGAACCTAACACTATTTGCCAGTGTTCGAAAATCTAAAATGTACATCTGAAACAGCAACTAAGCCTGTGGTTTTCAAGTTGAAGAGGATGAATCACTCTCTACTGTCCCCAATACTTAAGAGCATAAAATACATCAAATACATTATTATTAAACCTAATAATGTGAGAGAAATAGTTTTGAAACCCAGAATATTGCTCTGATATAAATATTTTACAAAATGGGAGAAAAAGTCATTAGAAATAGTGAGGGCTTCTAGGCTATAGTAACAATAAGGTTAATGGTGTTGACAGCTTTATAATTAATTAGATTAATAAAACAGCAAAAAAGAAAAAACCTAATTAAACAGACAAAAAGGCTAAAGCCACTGAATTTGGAGTCCTAGATTTTAGTCCTAAGTAATTTCAGGAAACAATTTCATGTATCAGGACCTCAATTCACCATTAAAAGGAAGGGAGTGATTAAATTATCTCTAAGGAAATTCCAGCTCTAGAATTCTCTACACACCTTGGCATATTAAAATAAAAACCAAAAATGTATTGCTATTAAGTCCTAACAAATTCCTCAAATAAAAAAGCAACTACATCTTCTCCAGATACTAAAGCTGGTATCTTTATCCAAGGTATCCAAGATACCTTGGATGGTATCTTCCACTTATCAGTAAAAATATGTTTTGTTGCTACTGACTGTAACTCATTAGAATATTTTTATGCCTGTTCTTTTGTTTACCTAAAATGTGCTTATCCCCAACTCTTCAACTGTCTAACTCTTATTATCTCTTTTAGATCTTAGCATATATATCTCATCTTCAGTAAGGCCTGTCTTGATCCCTAAAATAGGTCCCACTTGCTATTTTATTTAACACTATTTTTTTTAACTTCATGGCACTTATCACAATTTTTCATCTCTATAATTACTTGTATTCTTTTGTTCAATGTCTCTCTCACCCACTATAGTGAAACCTCCAGAGGGAGAGCAACCTATCTGGGTTTTTTCCCCATTGTTTTATGTCCAGCCCTGGCACAATGCCTAACACACAGATGATGTTCATTTATAAATATTTGTTATATGAAGGAACAAACAAATGAACAAATGAGGCAGGCATTAAGAACTGTGGAGATCATATGAGGAAATGTTTACCCACTTACCTCGTTAAACACAGGATACATGACTGCATAGAGGGGCATAGAAACCATGGAAGTGGTCTCAGCTTCATTCTTCATCTCTTCCATTGTCATCCTCATTCAAAAGCCAACTACAGTAGAAAAAGCAGTGCTAAAATGCAGAGGAATCTTCATTCACCACAGTATTTCTTCTCTTTTTTGTGATAAAAGAATAGGGCACAAAACACACACTGATCTGGTTAAAGGGAAAGAAAGAACAGAGATTTACTTTTTATTAAAGGGAAACTACAAATGCCAATAATTTTCTTTTTCAAAGTAGAGTCCCTAACTTACCAAAAGCTGATTTTTTCATACATCTTACTTGTGAAGGCAACCCTGGTCAATGACACATCTCTCTTTTCCTCCGCAGACTCAAGAACTTCCCTTTCTTACAGCCAATCTCCCTCATTAGGTACTACTTCACAGAGCAAAGATTCATGAACCCACTCATCTGGCACTCAGAGAGAGGTCTCACGGAGCACCATGGATTAATGATGTGTCTAATTCCATCATATACAACCTAAGAAAAAGTATCAAGGTGCATACTTACAGCATTTATATGTAATACAAAATTATAACTATGAAACGTATGATATATAAGCATGTACAGAAAACCAAATTAAAGAATTAAGGTGTTTAACATTTTCATTAAAACCTTTTTGCTAATTGTTCATTGACTTTTGTCACCTAAAAATAACAACAAAAACATAGGAAGCACCAAAGTTTTAAGACAAACCTTAAAACTAGGCAAAGACTACCACATGTGGTCTATTTGGGGAAAAAAATATGTTATTTAATTTTACCAGTGGTACTTGTTGAATCTTTGTCCAAATCTGACACGAAAATTAAGTAGAGAAATCCACAGACTCTGGTAGTTTGTAATAAAAATATCAAGAATTCAACAATATAAGAGTGCCTTGAGGAGTTGAGGAAATGTGTTGCTTTTTAGAGAAAGAGACTGCATTTATTTCCTTTGCTAGGCTAAAACATGAGTCATTATAAATGAAAGAATAAGAGTAGTAACACACCTATATATTAAATAATATATATTAATATATGTAAAACAAAAAGCCATCAATTTTTGAATAATTTCTACCATTTGTAAAGCATTTTCAGATTATAAAACATTTTTCACATGCATTTAATCCTCACAATAACTTATTTTAGAATAACTGTCATTCTAATTTTACAGATGAAAAAGTAGGCTCAGAGATGATAAATAACTTTCCCAAGATCACACATACAGAGGCCCGAGGCTTGATCCCAGTCCTCTGAATCCAGATCTGATACTTCTACTTCAAAAAACCAAATGTAAAGGAGAAACAAAGAACTCAGCTCACCTACCCAAGAAAACCCCCAGAAGTTATTCCTTCACTGAATAAATGTATGTTTAGCACTTATTACATGCAAGATGCAGTAGAAGATGAATAAGATGTAGTCCTAATCATTAAAAAGGTATCTGGGCCCAATTGTGGACAACCTAAGCAGTCTGAAAGATACCATCAAAGGCCTGGAGTACATACAGCTTCAAAAAGCTCCAATGACCTGTCCCATCTGAGAACTGCTTACTATCCCCCTTCCATATGCTGACCAGTGAAGGGGAACTCAACACGGACTGAAACAGTTTAGTCTCGTTTCTGGTAGTTCTAAACATGGAAAGTTTTTCCTGTTTCTGAGCTGAAATCTGCTCCTGGACTTCACAGAACAAAACAAAAAAAAGGGAAAAAAAGGCCAATTCCTAAATTTTATTCTACAGGGCAAGAGAAAACCATTACCCAATCAGACCAGTGATTTAAGTAGTTGGCTTTGATCCTAGCATTAAGGATAGAATGGAGGAACAGAAGCTGAAGGCAGGGAAAACAAAAGACCTAGTGTATCTATATGAGATCAACAGGACCTGAATAGTAAGCAAGAGGAAATAGGTAAATATCAACTGTGGTCCCGCTGCCCCTATTTAACTACTTCATAGGCTATTTGGTAATCTACTTTTCCACTTAGAAATAAACCGAGGGGCCTGCCCGGTGGCGCATACGGTTAAGTGCGCACGCTCCACTTCAGTGGCCCAGGGTTGGTGGGTTCGGATGCCAGGCGCGCACCGACTCACTGCACGTCATACCATGCTGTGGCGGCGTCCCATATAAAGTAGAGGAAGACAGGCACAGATGTTAGCCCAGGGCCAATCTTCCTCGGCAAAAAAGAAGAGGATCAGCATCGGATGTTAGCTCAGGGCTCATCTTCCTCACCAAAAAAACAAACAAAGAAAAAGAAACTGTGAATACCTTTTTATAATAAACTTGGAACAACGAGGAGCTGAAATGCAGTGATACTGAAAATGATGGATAGTGGATGCACAGTATAGAGAGTAGTAGAGGGCACTGTTATCAACGGAAAAAGCAAGTGAGAAACAGCAGAAGAGGGCCAACAACGGAACTTAAAGTGCTATTTCACTGGGTGTCAGAAAAAAAATCATTTGTTTAATAAATATTTATTCATTACCTATACAATATTAGGCCTGGTACTAAATACAGAGCAGTGTACAAGACAGACGGTCTTCAACCTCATGGAGCTTGCACTATGGAAGGAAAGGAATGAAAAATTGCAAGTACCATACAAGGGAGAAGTCAGGATGCCATACTGATATGGGAGAAATGCTGGAGAGAGCCAGTATCACAAAAACCAGGTGTTTCAAAGAGAGAAGGTGGTTTTAAATGCTCCCAAGCACGGTCAATAACTTTAAAAAAATTATTTGATTTCCTAATGAGGTCAAGAGTAACGCTCAAAGAGTAGTGTCACTTGTACAGTGGGGGGGTGGCGTGGGGGGGGACGGACTACCTTCAGGGGCTGAGATAGTGAGCTGGTGAGAGAGGAGTCTAAGTTTTCAAGAATCTCCGTAAAAAGGAGGTGAAATACTACAAGAAGTGAAATACTAACGTAGGGTGGATGGGGTCATTTTTGTCTTTTACTCTTTCAAACACGTGGGCCTATCCCTGCGTATATAAAGGCAGACAGAGCTGAGGGGACCAGTAAAGTGGCTAGAGTCACTTTCAGAATGCCTGCTGACATTTATCTCTCTACCCCATTACCCTGCTCAAGTACTTAATTTTACCTTTTGTAAATACTGGCATTGAATATTTTTTTAAAAATTGTGTTTAGTAAGTAGTGTTGTACCATGGCAATTTTCACTTAAGATATTTATGATTCAAATTAAAAACATACATATATATATTTCTTGCCTTAAAAATTAACTTTACAGTACTATCAGCTATTACGTGTCATCAAAAAGACAGTATTACAGCAACATTACAGGCTGAATAGGTGGCTGGCCTACACCACACTTAACCACCTTTTAATACTGTTCTTATGAAAAATGCTCTAAAGAACCAAATTACAAAAGAACTTTTAATTAAGAACACATATTCACAAACTGGGGCCACTCACAGTTTCAGAACTGTATACATGAGTTTAAAAATGAACAATTCCAAGCAGGCTTTTTAAACATTAAATTATTCTGCCAATTTTAGTTCAACTTCAAGTTAAAATATGCTGTCATTCCTTCTACACGCTTCTTCATTTGTACTGGTTCAATGGACAACCTGCAATTACTCCAAGTAACAAAGCGCCTGCTACCTAAAAAGCAAGGGTCAGCAGAGCTGAGCAAGGGCTGAGGCCCTGCCCCTTTGAGAAGGTTCCTTCCTTTCAGTACGGGTGTGGTCAGGCCCTGAGCAGCCAGGCAGCACATTAACAAAGTTTCAGCCCTCTCAGGGATATTGGTTTCTGGGGTGAGTGCTGATCACCCATGCATAGCCAATTAAAGATTACTGCCTCCAAATCCCAAGTGTGAAAAGGCCTTGAAGTTACCTCATCCACCCTCTAGTCAGCGGAAACCAAAGGACTTGCCCGTGATTACAACTGCTAGCTAATAATCAATAATAAAAATTTAACGTGGGTATGGTGGTAACATAGCAAGAACTACTTTGTTTCCCATTTCAAATGTGTTGCTTTGGGGAAGTTTTCACTTCCAAGTAAGCTTTGTTTCTTGAGCGGTTAGCATCCACAGAATTTTAAAAAACAAGAACCAGAACCAAAGACGCTAATAACTTAGACAAAAGGTATACTTTTAAACAAATTTTTCTTCAAAACACTCCATGTGACATGGGGATACCAAAACAAATAGAACATAAGCAACAGTTATTTATACTTTTCTCCTTATTTCCTTGAAAGTTCAAAATAGTACTGCTAATTTCCAACACAGATAAATTAGTTTCAAATATCTTCCTGGGCTTAAGACGGTTATTATTTGTTTAGAATGGGGAGGCAACAAAAATAGGTTCTTGGCTATTCCACTGCCAACTCTTTGTCATAGGAGTTACTGTCCTGTCCTGCCCAACCAACCAACAGGAGTCTGTTCCTTTAACAAATTACAGGGCAGGGCCGGCCCCGTGGCTTAGCGGTTAAGTGGGCGCGCTCCGCTACTGGTGACCTGGGTTCGGATCCCGGGCACACTCCGACGTACCACTTCACCGGCCTTGCTGAGGCCGTGTCCCACATGCAGCAACTAGAAGGATGTGCAACTATGACATACAACTATCTACTGGGGCTTTGGGGGGGAAAAAAAAGGAGGAGGATTGGCAATAGATGTTAGCTCAGAGCTGGTCTTCCTCAGCAAAAAGAGGAGGATTAGCATGGATGTTAGCTCAGGGCTGATCTTCCTCACAAAAAAAAAAAAACTTACAGGGCATATCTCAAGGCTCAGAATCAGCATTTCCTGAAACGGCCTCACTTTACTCCATCTGGGGCATGAGATAACTCTAGAGCCAAAGCAATTTACTCACAAAGAAAATGAGTGGACAACCAGAAGTCTTGGTACTGATGTATGCAGTTCTTGGGGAGAAAAAGAAGCTTCCTACTGTAAAGTAACTTAAAACGTTTGTAGGAAGGTCTATTTGTCTTGTTTTTCTTTATAGCCAAATCCAGTACTAGCTCCCTTACCTGGTCCTAAATTCTTATAACTCCTTTAATTTCCCTCCCTAAAGAAGGGAAGTTTTATTTTATTTATTTATTTATGTATTTATTTATGTTGGATCCCCAATCTGTCCATGAACGTTTAGCTAAAAGTTGTTTATTCATTCTAGCAGTAGATAGAATCCATGTGTTTACGTTACCATTAGTAAGTTTATTTCTTTTTCCCAACAGAGA